AATACTATTATTTCATTAGACAGAGGAAAAAGTGAGTTCATGTAGTTCAACATTTGTTAAATGTTTAAGGTATGCTATTAGATTGGCAGCATAACATTAAATATTGTGAAAAGAAAACTACGCCACTGATTTAAATACTGTTTATTTAACAGAGTCAGATATTTCACAAAGTTAATCATCATCGCAGTACAAATCAATAAAGAATGTGTTTGCTTTAGAGAACTGTCTTTCAGCTACTATCCTGTAAAGACTGGAGTAAGTTTCAATTCACCATACATTAATTATCTAAAACTGCTATTTTCAATCTTTTTTGATTTGTGAGCTGCTAAAAATGGTCTAAGGAAAGTTAGATCCTTTCAGAAACTTCATGTAATCTGGATTACTGTGTAATATACCTGTGCTTGCTTTTCATAGTCACATTTGGTGGGTCATCCTGGAGCAGAATTTGGAATAAAAAATTATAAAATTGAAGTGAGAGCTTATGAGGCTTTATATCTCTTTATTAGACCTATTCACAGTCTTTAAGAGTAACTTAATTTGTGTTTTGTGTGGATAAGAGAGCTTCAACCTTTCTGAGCGTGGGTGGACTTAGTTACCCTTCAGTGTCTCGCCCGGGAGAACAGGGCAATCCAGGGGAACGGAGAGATCGTTACAGGTTAGCTAATGGCATTGCAGTAGCCCTGCAACCCACAGTGTCTAAAAGCCCTCATGACACCTCACGATACGGCTCAAACTCGGAGCTCAGCGGGCCTCCGAGGCCTGCACTTTAATAAATTCACGGAGGAATTTAGCACTTCTACCAATTGGAATATCTGAGATAACAATGGGGAGAAAAAGTTGCAGGCCACTTTCAATTCCAATGCATATTAGAGCTAACTCATTGATTTCAATACTTTTGCACTAGTTTTCCAACAGAGAAACTTGGCAATAGATCTTTTTCACTTGTTTTCACTTCAGATCCTCCCTACTAGCTGTTTTTCCCTGATCAGCTTAACCTACATCAACTCATGTAGCTGAGACAATTCCTTCTATCAGAGTTAATTTTTAATAAGAAAACTATGACAGTCTCATTAAAATAGCTACAATTACCACCTTTTTTGCAGAAACTTGAGAGCCATATACCTAGAAGATATCCCCTCCCCTTTTTTCAATCTTTGTCCTTTTTTTTCCTCATACGTCTTTCCCTTTATCTACTATATTCCTAATTCCTTTGTTTTCTCCTGTCATCATTTAGGGTCTGATTCTACAAACATTTATCCAATAAATAATTTTGTTCATAGGAATGCTGCCAGAATGTTCAATATTTCTGCAGATTCATAGATTATGAAGTCTTTGTGAATATTACATAATATCAGTAACCATGCTGGATCAGACCGAAGTTTAATTTATCCTGGGACAGTGACCAGAAACAGATGCCTAAGAAAGTATGTCAGAATTAGTTCAAACACAGTGGAGACGTTTCTCTGACATACTCTCCTAGCATCCAGCAGTTCAGGGACTTTTGTTCTCTATACAAATTTCTAAAAACTGTGAGAAAGTTACCTCTATATTTCCATTTATCCAATCAAGGTTCTGAAGTCTCCTAAAATTCAGATTTCCCAAAGCAGGTGCACCAACCCTTAAATCATTATAATGTCACTTTGAATACTGCTCAAGATCCCCTCTGGGAAAAAAATTTAATGTGTAAACACTTCAAGTAGTGTCTCACTTCTAGCATGCCTGAAAAAACATTGGAGAAGCTTTTATTGCTATGTAAATAATAGTAACTCACAGTCATATTTTCCAAACAGGAAGATCTACATATCAGATTTAGAGGAGGAAAATCATGGATGGGAAAATAACTACTGGCCAGCTGAAAGACAAGCCGCCATTCCAGGACAGCAATGACAGAACAGTTCTTGCCAAGAGCATATGCCATAATTGTTCAAAATTAAAGGTATGGAGAGTAGCCCTCAGCATGCATTTTCTTTAGAATACTGAAAACCATAATCTGAAATTCTATCAAAATTTAGCCAATTCTGTATGATATCATTTTACACTACATGTATTGGAAGCAGTGTTTTGGGTTGTGGTTCCAAGCACCTCATATTTAATAGATGTATTCAGCAGTTAAAAGATGGTGCCATATTTTGCTGATGAATGCATTACAGACGTGGTGTAATCGTAGAGGTAATTGCTAAAGCAGCTACATCTTTTTATTGATGTTTTTTAGAAGAGAAAAAGTAGGAGTAATAAGAACATGCTGTACTAAGACTACCAATAAGAAACAGCTTTATGCTTTAAGTTTTCTCTAAGAAAGGAAACAGCTAAAACAATATGTGGTAGAAAGATAGAAGGCATAAAGAGTCAATGCATCTCAACTTTCCTCTTCGTTGCAGAAGAGGCGGCTTTGAAGGCCACCAAAGGCAAAGCAAATAACATCTTCTGTCTAAATGAAAATGATGGAAAGAACCTCTTCACACAGAATTAGAAAACAAAATATCTGATTTCTGTGTTCCTTGACTAGATTGCTGAGCCATCCAGTCATGAAAAAAATATATTTCTTTGCACATTCCATTATTTTCTCTCTTCAGATATTTCTTGGAGCTCTAGCTTTTTCATTTTTCGCCAAAGGATTTTCTGGAAGCTACATGAAGAGCATGTCCAGTCAAATTGAAAGGAGATTTGAAATTTCATCATCAATTGTTGGCATCATTGATGGCAGCTTTGAGATAGGTATGTGTACTTTCTGAGAGAGTGGAAAAATACCCTTTCCTAACACATTTTTTCCCCCAAACACTTTTTCTTTTTGTAATCTTACTGATACATTTTTCTAATGGTGCAGGTAACCTAATGGTAATGGTATTGGTAAGTTACCTTGGACCAAAAGTGCATCGACCAAAAGTAATTGCTGTTGGATGTCTCATCATGTCACTTGGAGCATTTTTATCTGTGATGCCTCAGTTCCTAATGGGACGGTAAATATAGACAGTTTTCACGGTGTGCACTATTTGAAATTGACCATATGAAATTTTTTTGTCATATATCTCAGTTAAAACCTTGACAATAGTAGTTTCCTCCAGATAACTGGAAGGTTTTAGTAGGTGGATTTTTTTAATATCGGCTTTCTGATTTCCCTTCTGAAAGCATAGCTCTTTCTACTAGGTAGGTAAGACAGACATCTGCAGTTCAGGGTGCTTGTACGGCTACAGCATCTTATCCATAATTACGCATAAACTGGGTTGAATTTTTCACGTGAGAAGGATATATATAGATAGATTTTTTGGATGTGCACCTTTTTTAATACTTAAACTCTAATAAGATCTTGTTGGAAAGAAGCCTCTTTCTCCATGGTGGTTATTTATGCTGAGCTCTTTAAAAATAAGGAAGGTGTGTACCTACCGCCCATTGAACTCAGGGAGAGTTAAGCATCTGAAGACCCCGTAGGATCTAAGCTGCAGTGCTTACGTAGATGTCAGAAGCAGTTCTTCTTCAGTTCTTCAGCAGCCTTACTGAACAGTAGTTGAAAATAAAGTCCCTCTGTCTCTCAAAAGTTAAAATTATTTATCTGTGTACCTTCCTTAGCTCCAAGACTTATACCTGTGATAAAGAGGGCATGGAAAGAGTTCTGTCTGGGGACCGTGGGGTGGAAAATGGCCACAGTCACTGATCTGCCTGTGAAGTAGCAGGGAGCTTGCGCTGCAGGAGACAGCACAGGATGGAAGCAAAGCTTGGGAAATCTCTGATTTAGCCCAAATTCACAGCTGAGTTCTGAAGATTACCTATTCTCGGCAAGACTGTGCAAAATCCAGTGGCCATGGAGGCCTCACTGTTGTCCGTCACAATATTGAATGCTACCACTTGATAGCACTGTCAGAGAGAATATCTGCTGTCCATTCACCCCCATGTAGTGTAATTGAACTCACGGCAGCTGCAGGTTACTTTGCAGACTCGCGGTAGTAGCTGACTGTCTAAATACAGCCTACCTGAGACGTGGGTTTTGCAGCCTGTGTTAGTCCCTTTGTAAACAAAGACAGATTACTATTAGCACCAAAGATAGCTAATTTTAAGTTAATAGAGTTATTTCTATATTACACATCTGTCATATAGTTAAGAAATGGAATGCCAGTACGGAAAAATATCAGCACTATTGTACATAGACAGATGCAAACAGACTTCTGTCCTTGAATCTAAAGAATGATCCCTTAGCCTTGGACCAGCTTTTCGGCTCTTTAGCTAAAGAAAATATTGGGGTTAGAATGGTCACAGCACTTTGAAAAACACTAACTTGCAGTTAGCCTAGCAACTAGGTAACCACTGGAAGACATTATGCAGTCCTCACACGAGGATTCTTTTTTTTTTTTAAAGTAAAAGCTCTGGATGTGGGTTGCCCCTCTGCTTTGCCTTTACGTACAGGAATCCCGTGAGCACGAGGCTCACACTCACTTCTTGCAAAACAGAGAGATTTTCATATGTCAGTTGTATTTTACACAGTTGTTTTCCAGTTATAATTATGAAAGGATAACTGTTACTGTGGACAACTCTACAAGTTTATCAGCTTGCTCCCCAGCATTGTCTGTGGATGATACAGTTTCAGATGCTACGGAAACACCAATAGAAGTGAAAAATTCTGGTAAGCAAAAACTCTGACACTGGAATCCTGTCTTTTCTTATCCTCTTTTTATATACCCTCTTTTCATTGGAAAGCCTAAGAGTGAAACCCCCATTAGATACCATGATATGTACAAACCCATACTATTATGCTTGTACAAAAATATCTTATGTTATGCTATTTTTCTGTTGCAATAAAGTATTTTCAGAATTATGTTCACAAAAATGTAAATGTTTATGGCCTGCAGGATGTGAGAAAACATCGAGTTCCTATCTGTGGCTCTTTGTGTTGATGGGAAACCTTTTACGTGGAATTGGGGAAGCACCAGTTATGCCACTGGGGGTTTCATATATTGACGATTTTTCTAAAGAAGAAAACTCAGCATTTTACATAGGTAATATCCGAATGGACATTCTTTTCTCTAACATTTCTGTAGCCAAGCAAAAAAATCTATCTATTCTATTTTACTTAATTTTTAATTGAACAGAGATAAATAAGGAAAGCTAAAGAGATCTTGTCTTTATTTTGGAAGGATATTTCCCAGATGCTCCTCTTGCTTTCCCCAAGTAGCTTCTGCTACATGTGCCAGTTTTCTCTCTGAAGAAAAGAAACAAGAGTCAGACACTTATTTCTCTGCAAGTGTTTATTACTCTTACGTGGCATTAACATATCACCTTCAGTACTGCAGCTTCAGAGAATAAATTCTTCCTAATCACCGATCCGCAAATACCAGAGTTATCCTTAATCACAGTTATGCAAACATGTTTCAGAAGCTTTATGCTGACATTTTGAATTTTACATGCCACATACTTGCTGAAGACATTTTTTTAATGCCAATGGTTACCTAAGGACAAAACAAACCCTTGCTAGGATGTTGTAACAAATCACTTCTAATTGGGATTTTGTTGTTGTTTTGAGGCAAGATACTCCATTGCCTAAGACAGAAAGACTTACACCCAAGCTAATTCATTTATTACCAGTTTGATTTAAAACCTTGGAGTCTTTGTGTGACTAAGGGTTCTCGAAACTGCTGCTGAAAATAAACTTGGTGAAGCTGAACAGGTCATAGAGGTAGTCAGACATCATAGTAATCTCATCAAAAACTCAATGAGTGAGGCTGCAAAGTAAGGCCACTGAAAATGCCTTCGTCTGGGGATGAGGAAATCTGTAGCTTAAGGAAAAAGGAGGTACTGTGAATGGAGCTGACAAAAATACAAGTCCCACTCTCAATCCTTAAGAAATGTTTGTAATCACCTCTGAGCTTATAACTAACGGTAGTTTAAAAAGCACAGCTGAAATTTTTCTTGTCAGAGTCTGATCTGGGAGAGATTATGATGTGCTGGGATCTATTGGGGAAATGAGACTGAAAATATAAAGCAGAAGGAGATACAGCGAATAATATAGATTCAACCAAAATGAAAATTTGTTTGGGTCGTGTAAATGAAACAAAACTTTTTTTATGGAGTATCCCAATGTTTCATTTTGACATTCTCAATAGAATTTTTTCAGACCTTTATTCAATTAAAAGATTTCAATATTTTAATGGACTGACTGAAGTGCAAAAAAGAAAACATTGAAATATAACCTTTTCCGTAGGCCTGTAATTCTACTTTTTGACCAACTCTAACTCTTTTTATATCTCATTTTTGTCACTTGTTTGAGTCAAGTTATGGCAGCATTTTTGTCAAATATTTAATAAATATTGCCCTCCAATGAAAAAAAGGCAAGTCAAGCCTTGCTGTTGAATTTTGAACATTGATCTCATTATTTGACCCTGAGCCAGAAGCATCACCTTCCTGTGTCTCCATTTCTTCTCCCGCTTTTTGATGTCTTGCTGAGGAAAAATGTAGATTACTACCACTATTGTGCCACTGTTTATGCTATTGTTGTGGCAGAGACAGCTTTTGCTAAATGTCAGTAGAATACAGCACTGTGAACTTTTTGATAGAGCTGCAGTGCAAATGACAGCTGATAGTAATAAAACCCTGAGCTGCCATAGAATGGAACAGAAAGGGAAAAACTACTCTTTTTTTTTTTTAATTGTCTTACCAAATTTGTTAGAGGATGATAGCTTTAACATAGAATTATGTAAGACAGAAAATCAATCGTTTTACACAACCCCTTCAATTTACCTAGTTCCACCAGGCCATCAACATGGTCCTGAGCTAATGCCCCCACTGGTACAACGTGCTATACACTGCCTACAGTCCTAAAAAGTGCATTCTCATAGGGTTACTGTTCAGTGTGACTATGAGCTATAATGACCTGACCCGCTGTCTGCAAGCAATTGGTATTCATTAGGAGGTAGGACTGTAAGGCTCTGACTGGTTTGCTTTGCTCTGAGAGTGACATTTTGAAAGGCTGACTGATTGCTTATTTTTATAAATATTCTCCCATACTAATCACCTAAATTAGGTATTTCACGGTATTCAGATATGTAACTCCTGCTTAGGCGCCTCTAGAAGAGGTGCCATTATATCTCTGAGGATCTGGCTCATACTATAAGCTCTTGGTGATCAATTTATTTTTTTTTAGTCAATTTCTGAATGTAATTGAAACAGAATATTGACATGGTTAGTTAACATCAGTAGCTATCAGATTTAGCATTCTGTAAGAGGAATAGTAGTCAATTAAAATTATTTAACGAGGTGTACTCCACTTCCATGACTTTCTGCCGAAAGAGAGATTGTGAATCAATGAAATTACATCACAAAGTTAAATGCTAACATATAATCCTGTATCTGTTGAACTCAATGGCTTCAATAAAAACATATGTTTACAACGTATGTTTTAAATTTTAAAACTGGTTATATGCCATAATTATGCATCAATATAAGGGCAAAGTTGAGGTATGTTAATTTGCAGCAGCTGATTACTTGATATGTTCTCATGAATTGCTATTTACGGTTCAGTCTGTTTATTAATTACGAAGGATAAATACAAAAATATGGTATGAAAATATCATAGTGAACTTATCTGATTTTATCTTATCACAAAATAGGCATAAGCTTATTAGATTAGTGAAGCTGTTCTTCTATTTCAAAGCTATGTAAAAGTGGAATTTAAATTAAAAACTTCTTTATGCATATGCAAATTTATTGCACATATTCTTAGTTTCTCTGACAGCTTATAGTATGTAAAATAAATACACTGTAAAATAGCAGGCCACTGATATTTTGCTGGGGATGCTGGGTTTTTTTACCTGTTTATTTTAGAAATTTGTCACTGAGTATTTGAACTTAAGAGATGAGCTTTCGTAGTGCAGAGCAGTAAGATCTGCTGTAGATTAATTGGTAAACATGAAGAGCTTTTTTCTGGCTTCCAGTGTCAAAATCCTGACTCTACACAAGTCAATTGCTTTGGTAGCATCATAATTTAATCTAAAAGGCCAGATTTTCCAAACAATTAAAATGAGAAAACTGAATGATAGCAATAGGCAACTGGAGGAATTAAACAAAGAGAAAACTCATATTGTTTCAGATAAGAAAACTCATACGGTTAAATTATGTTGTAAGAATTCATTACAGAAGTCTTTGATCATTACCTGAGCAATCACTGTATTGGGCAGTAAGTTTGCAAAACTAATAGGAGAAATATCTCTGCAGTAGAACAACACAGTAGGATTTACGAGGCATGATGCCAAACCTGGGCAAAAATTGACAAGCACTTCATTAAAAATTCCTTTTTTTCCAAATGAAATCAGGACTTCCGCAATTTCTAACATCCCCCAAATGGCAGTTCCATATGAATTTGGAAGACCAAAATCACTGAAGAGATTGGAAACTGTTGTTCTTCTGCACTTCACAGCTAAACTTCAAAAAAATCAGGGCAGGTGCCAACGAATGCTTGAATTATTTTGGGAATATTTTTATTTTATCTTAATTGCCATCAGTGGTCACCAAAATCAAATTGCACTGTATTTGCATGCCCTGTTATAAGACTTTGCAGCAAAATGTGGTGCCAGCTTCATAGGTTTGTACTTACCTTCACAGCTTATTCATTTGCTTCTAAGTGTATCCTATCTTCTTCTTCTGATCCTGTGTTATCTCCTCTGTAAGCAGAGACAAGAGAAGGAAATGGAAGCCCCAGTGAGGCAAGTAGAAAAATTGAAAGCTGATTTCAAAGAGATCATTACTTCATCACTCGATTTCTTGATTTTTTTTACAGCTGCAGTACATATTAATTGAACCATTAAACTAGTTGCTTATTCTACTGCTCAGTGAATCAACACGGATTCTATCTAAGATACTTCGTTCAAGTACTTCATTCAAATATAGCCATATTTATATTTCCTTGTTGCTCAGTGAAAATATTCTCAGGGTTCACTTTTATTACCTCTGTCTTTTAAATGTGATTTTAAACTTCGAAAACACTTGTCTTCTTGTATGCCCATTGTCAATTGAACTGCAGTTACTTAAACTAAAGACCTGAAAATACAGTACGGGGAAAAGTTCTGAACTCTAAAATCACAAAACATCATGCAAGTTATAATTATGATACCTTAAGTGGACCTGGAGTTGTACGTTCTTTAGTTAACTGCCATAAGCTGAACAATACAACAAAAATCTGAGGAGAGATCCCAAGGAAGAGGATGGGTAAAAATCACTGCAGCGTAGATTCTCTTTGCTCGTATTTGCTCTGTGACCTTGATCTTGCCAATTAAAATGCACATGGGAGTCCATGCGCGAGCCCTCTGCCTTCAGCAAAGCCCTCTGTGGGTGAAGGAGCCCCCTTCACGCTACAGCTAGCAGGGCTGGGGGCTTGCAGTTTTTCTTCTTGCCTCTGAAAAACTTATCCTTAGACATTTTCAAATAGACTATGCCCATTGTTTTTATCTGCTCCTTACCTCTCCTCAGAGGAGTGGGATGCTTGTCCATATAGTATCTTACTCACTTGCTTGTGGTGCTTCCTTCCTGCTACAGGTGTGGTGAGATCTGCAGGGATGTTTGGGCCAACCCTGGGGTTCCTGCTTGGATCTTTCTGTGCCAATTTATGGGTCGATATTGGCATTGTGGATATTGGTAAGAGACAGTGAGGGGATGCTCTAGCTAAGAGGGCTGCAAGATAGGATCCTGCATGCTAACAGTGCATCCTCAGGATACTACTCCAAAAAGGGTGCTCTCTAAAGGTTTTTCATGCTCCAAAGCTGATGTTATCGCTGTTCTATTTATTTCTGCAGCAGGGTAGTGTGACTGGAACAGCCCTTGATGCAAGGACCCTATTCAGACTACCTATATGTTTTCTGCCTTACATGCTTGCACACACATTTGTTACACCTTTGCTGGGTAGCTGAGAACGAATGAACAAACGAAAGGCCATCCACATGTTAAGACAGCAATCAAGAGCCTTTGTTCATGGACATTTGGCTCATGACAGAAATTAAATTTTCTAAATAAAAGTTGAACAAAGATTCGTATGAAACCCCATTTCATGGTCCAATTCACTTGATATATCTCTAATCCTGGAGAAAATTTGAGGAACCTAAAGAAAAAACTGTTGTTTTGGGGGATGAAAGCAGGAGGGGATAGTGGGAAATTGAGAGGGAAGTTATTTTTTGGTGGTCAAGGGCTCTCTTGCTGTCGCCCATCCCTATAGAAAGTGCTGAAAGGCAAGTCCACCGCAGGAAAGGCCACCATGGGTCTAGATGGAGATACTGGCACTCCTTACTTTTGACTGTATGGGACTGATTTAATACAAGCTGTGTTTTAAGTCTTCACATGAAATATAAATCTGCTTTTTCCAGGTGTTTAAATCTTGTAAAGTTTAAGTTAAAAATTAATCGCTCTACATTGTATTTAATCTCTTTACCTCTCTTTCTGTATTTTACAGATGCCATCAGCATAAATCCCAAGGATACCCGCTGGGTTGGTGCCTGGTGGCTTGGATTACTGATCTGTGGAGCAGTCAGCTTCATAGCTTCATTGCCTTTCTGGTTCCTGCCGTACTCCTTACCAAAAGAAGGAGAGGATGAAAATCTGAAGATCAGTCATTTGCCTGTATCTGTTCAGGGAGATCATTGTAAAACAGAGCCCCCAGTTCAGCCACAGTTAAAGTTTTCTGAGGCAGTAAAAGGTGAAAGATTACGGCCCAAGGGTTTGCATATGAATTCTCTCCCATGGGTTCATTCTGAGCTGAGTGTGGGTTTGCACAACACCCAGCAAAATGCAGGTTACTGCAGTGCAAACAATGGAAAAAAGTGCTCTCTCTAAATGGTAGTACTGTACCTGACTGCTGAGGGTCTGCTTCAGTCCTCTTCCTATGTCAGACAGTTGGAAAAAGCTCATGCTGTTGCTTTGAGCACTAGAGGTTCCCATTTCAACACAGTTGTTGTCATACGATGTATTACATCATTATAACCGTAAGAAGGGGGAGGGCACGAAACATCCCAGTCCTTCATTAATAAGCAATCCACTGTTGGCAGGTTTCTCTTTATTTGAGACCAACATATGGGAGGGAAACATGGGGCTAAGTACTTCATTGGCAGTTGGTGAGATTTCCCTGAATTCATGGTTCCTGTGTATGAGCTCAGTTATGCTGACTTTGATAAATGAACCTCGTAGAGTTAAGATCAGAATGAAGTACCCAGTGCTGGACTCAGTCCCACAAGTTTTTTGTTCGTTTGCATGCACGTGCACCCATCAGTGAATAGGATGCTTCCCTGAGAAGTGTTTTGAAATCTCATCTTTCAGGCAAGTGTGCCAGGAGCTAGACTACAGGCTAATCACAAGCTTTTCTTCTTCACTGTTTAATTTTATGGACTTAGGTACAGTAATCAAGGATCCCAGTAAAGGTTCCTGCCTTTGGCTGGGCCAGGTGTCTGAATCCCTTTCTTTGAATGTCACTCCAGGGTACCGCGTGTGGTGCTCTCACACGGCTTGTGAGGGCTTCTGCTTTAGGCAAAAATATTTTTGCTTAATACATAATAATCTTAGTCTTGGGGCACTCTTCTGTTTGGGCATTGATGATCAATGCGTCAAGCTGTGTTACCTTTGATGACTAGTCCTGGGTAACAAATAAGATAATCTGGGATTTCTGATTCCCAGTCCAGCATTCACAATACCATTCGGCATTGCTACTTCATGCAGCAGTAACTCTGTAAATCACGTTTTAGCAATGGAGAAAATTCTCACTCTGGCAAGCATACATTTTGATAGGCAAAAGTTATATCCTGCTATTAATTAAATTGAGGTTAGGTTTATTAGCTAACCGATGTCAAAACAACTCTTCTCTGTGTTTAGCAGGGTGTACAGCATATACCTCTCCATTGCAGATTTCCTACCAACTTTGAAGAAGCTATTTGGAAACCCAATTTTCCTGGTGTATGTGCTCCTTACTATTCTGCAGTACAATTCTCTTGTTGGACTGATAACTTATGAGACAAAGTTTATGGAGCAGCAATTCAATGTCTCAGTGGCAAGAGCCATCTTTCTAATTGGTAGGTACCCGTCTTCTTTTTATTCTAAGATTAAAAAGGAAGATTTTAAGGAAGATTTTATTTGTTATTTTGTCCTCCATTTTAAGAGGAGCTTCTGTGAACTCTTCTGGTTAAAAAAAAAAAAAAAAGTATATATAGAGAGAGGTTTATTAGTTTTGAACTGTATTCTGAAAGTGGATGTTAATTTTAGTGTTAATTTTCCTGATGTTCCTAATTTAGTGAGCTAGTGGGTAATTAGAACTGGGTGAATTTTTCAGTTGAAGGTTTTTTCAAAGAATGACGTTGGGGTTGTAAATTTGTGTCAATATTCATGAAAACAAACGCCACACAAATTACAACTAAGTAGCAACTGAAAAAAAAAAAGTATTCGGAGAAGTGTCTGATTTTCAGTTGCAGAATAACAGTTTGCATCAAATGTTCTTCAGTTTTGATTAAAAGTACAAATTTTATAAACAATCAAAAAAAAATGTAAAATTTCAAGTCATTTCATTCATCTCAAAATTCGTTTTATTTGCCCCCCCCCCAAAAATTTCATTCTGTTTCTCTACAAAAAGGAAAGCTGAATAATATTAATATCTTGCCGTGTTGGATAAACATGGTCTCATAACCTGGCAAGAAAACCAAGGTATTTGAGGACATTGCAGAACCTATATTCCATTACTTTAATCTGAAGCAGGTCTGCTTTTGCTGTGAGTTAGGTACAAAAACAGAAAGAACCCTTTTTTCCCCTCCTCTCTCTTTTTTAGGTGCAGATAAAATTTTACAAAAACAGCATGACCAAAGACAAAAAAAAAAGCCATGCAGAGAGAGACAAACCCCTCACAACAGAAAAGTAAAAGCTCTCTATTCGGCATGTGAATATTAGGGCTGGAGTTCCTCAAATGTTGAATAGATATTCAGTCTAAATGCAAATCTTTCCATGATTCAGTCGCAGAGCAAAATGGAGTCTCATACAAAACCAGACATTCCTTCCTTTCACCTTCTGTTTTTGGGAGTTTTCAGTAATCTTCAGAAAGTGTTATGATTTACATTAGATGAAGAACTTCCCATAAGCTACAACATCTATCTGATATACTCCATTTTCTAACAGGCACCTGTATAAGTCCTATTACATCAGAATACGTACTAAGAGCAGTACACTGAGAAGGGTAGGGAATGTTAAGGAACTAAGCTTTTTAAAACAGTAATAGGAGTAGGAAGAAAATAAAGAGATAATAAAAATTAGTTAAAGAAAGATTAAGCAAGAAAAATTCATAGAACCTCAAAGGACCAGTCTGAAAGAAGGTCAGAGTCTGTGTGTTTTTTTTTTTTTTTAGAAGCTACTGTTACTCTAGGAAGGGTCTAAAAGTGGCAGCAGTTAACATCTTTCTGTTACATTTTATTTACAGGTGTTATACTTTTACCCATCACTATCCTGGGGATGTTTCTAGGAGGCTTTCTGATTAAGAAATTCAAACTTCATGTAACTGGAATGGCAAAGTTTGCGGGCATCACCTTTATATTAGCGTATCTGTTAAATCTCTTGTACTTTACGTGCAGTTGTGAGGTGCTCCAAGTGGCTGGTTTGACAGTGCCCTACTCTGGGTTTGTATTGCCTTGGGTTTGTGCTGGTTGTGTCCCTTGCCATAATTTTTTCCTCCCTTGTTCAGAAAATTTTGCATGCACTTGAATTCTTTTACTCTCATAATCTCATCTGGGCTCATAATGTCATCTGCACTAAGAACCTTCTAATTTAGGAAACATTTTACATTGAATTTAATGAGTTCTCCAGTACAGCTTCTCTGTTGATTTACTGTGGCATATTACTATAGCCTTTTGTATGGAAGGTATATCTATGTTTGTATGTTTAAAAGGAAACTAATTTGTTTTTGAAACCAAAGCATACAAAGTTATCTGTTAGTGTCAGTCAGTGCGGTTTCAGCTTGGACAGTAAAGCTACTGTGATTATGTCATTTCATCAACCCCTTAATAGTAACACACACAAGAGGATCTGAGGAGTTAAAACAGACTTGTCAGGCTGAAATGATAGCTAGTGCTGGGGATGTGCAGAGTACTATGATTTTGGTTTTCAAGTTTCAGTTAAGCTGGGCATTTTTTTTGAAATTGTTTGTTGCTGATTGTTGGCAATGTACCTTTATACGCTGGCAAATCAACTAACTAAGATGAAATTGATTGCAAGCAATTGAAATGCTTATAGTTTATTTGAAAGCTTTAAAGCTGGCCTTCTGCTGCCACATAGGGAGTAGAAGGTATGAAAAGTGTTGGAGGTGACTTCCCCATAGGCACTCCAAAGACTTTGTGTCTGGAAGGGCCCGTCCTCTAGCTCACTAGTTGTCAGCCTGCACTGCTAGTTACCAACCTCCCTTCGTGTCTGGAGCTACTTACCTACCTGGGCCTACTTTTTTTTTTTTTTTTTTTTTTTTTTCTGCTGGGAGGTAGAAATAGGTTACCTGAGGAACCAGGTGCTGCCCAAACAGAAGTTCCCCCTCCCTTACCAGGGCCACAGTCATGTCTTCTTGAGAACTTTTTGCTGACTCCAGCAGCCTGCCACAATTGCCTACTGTGTAAATTCAGCTCGGTCTGGCCCAACAAATTTAGAGGGATTTTAAAGGATTAAACTGAATCCAGCAGGGCTTGCTAGATTTTCAGTTCGGACAGAAACTCAGACCTGTGTTTCTTGAAACTGAGCATATGTTCAGAGAAATATCTAGGTGTCTTGGCAAACCTGAAACCCAGTTCAACTGTGAGGTTAGTTACGCAAAAGATGTCAGTTTTGGCCAGTAGTGATTACTGTGACACAGTGCAGCATCAGATGCTGCAGAAAAAAATAAAGAATAAACCAGAAATATCAAGATAGTAAGTACTAAAAGAGCAATTACAGTTTTTCCAGTCCCTGACAGTTGGGAGTGACTGAAGAATTTGCCATGTACTCAGACTTTTCTGGTCAAGTGAGTCACATACTACTTCACCAGTTTAACAGTTTATGGTTTGAAGACTGGCTATATCACAACAAAGGCTCAAAAAAACCCAGTTATTTTCCATCCTAAAAAACTTAGGATGAAAGTAGCCCCACGAGGTTTGTTTTGGATTGAGGGGTAGGGAGGAAGAAAAGGAAAAATTTTGACCCTTCTTCTTTGATTTGTGATTTCAGGTCATGTTTTTCAAATCTGTGGCTGTAAGTCACCTTAAAGCTGGGGTGATTTGTGGATTGTGGGCCCTTCACGCTTTCTGAAAATTGAGCCCTGCAACCATGCCTGCAGAACTGCTGGCCACTTCTTTAGTTCTCAGTTCTCGCTGCCATCCTCTTAGCTTAGCACCTTGGGCCACAGTTAGATGTTTCTTATGGAAATGTTAATAAGAATGAAAGCTATAAAAGTTCACGATAATGTACCATAATAAATGAGAGCTGATAAGAAATGACTCAAGCCTGGCCCAGGTGCAGGGCTGCTGCTGAATGT